CCTGACTTGTGATTTGTTTTAATCTTTGATTAACAATGCTTAATAAGTAATTAAAAGGAAATTATGAATTAATTGCATGTGAATTGTGTTATTTGTGTTTGTATCTGTCTGTTGTAGAAATATTTGCCTGAGTTAATTGAAGGCCTTATTGATATTTGATCACGAAATTGACTTAATTTATGTATTGTTTGGAATTATTACAATTTTATGGTAGGTTCAATTGAAATTCAATTCAGAGACAAATATTTAGAATAAAATAATTAGCACTAACTATAATTAATTAGCCTAAGTTTAACCAAGCCTATATAAGGCCACTTATAGTGCATTCTGCACATTTTCTTCACCCACTTGAGCTCAACATAACGTGAGAAATGGAAAGAGAGAGCTAAAGATTGAGACCAAAGGAGGAAGATTAAGGAATTAGCTTGAACTAGACTAGAGACTTGAAAGTTGGGAAGAACAACTTGGAATTCTCGCAAATTAAGACTCAAAGGTAAGACTTTAACCTTTTAGTTATGTAATTGAGTTGTTACATATGTGAAATTAAGTGAACTAGGTGAATTTGCATGGGATTTGAGCTTAAAGAATAGAATTGGAAATCATCTCACGCATGCATGTGCATTTCATGGAGTTTTGAAGTTGTTTTCAAAGATTTCTCTCATGCACGTGGTAATTCTAGCACGGTTTTAAGATTTCATGACATTTTTCACCATCGGACCTCATTTGATCATGTTTTGAAAGCTTTGAAGCTAAGACAATACATGTATGTTATACATACATACAATTCAAGTTTGTTTTTGAACAATTCACTTATTTTTGGGCCTTCATTTTGTGTAATGATCTTTAATTCATTATGTTTTGTAAGTTTTCAAGTGTTTTCTCAAGTTTTGGGACAAATGATGTATTTTAAGGTTTTGAATTTAAGTTTTGCACCTTGAACAGTAATTTGGAAATTTCAGAATTCTACATCTCCGCTCGAGCGACCACCCTTTGTTTTGTGTTTCCGCTCAAGTGAAGGAGTCTACGCTCGAGCGTAAAATTCATGCTCCCAGCAGTTTTACAAAGTTTTGCAGACCGCTCGAGTGACCAAAGTTGCGCTCGAGTGAGGACCCTATTTACTTAGTCTCACGCTTGAGAGACTGTCGATCATTCGTTGAGTGGAAAAATCATGCAACCAGTACTTTTGAGTTTTGCAGATCACTCGAGCGACCAGAATTGTGCTCGAGTGAACACCTTTATTTTTGAACCTTAGCTCGAGCGAAGACCTTATTTTCAGAAATTTGACTAAGTGTTGCAACACATATTTTGGCATCCTTATTACATCTTAGGCATTCCTAATCCTTAATTAAGACATATTAATGAGGATAAGAGGTAGAAGCACACTAAGATAGAAAAGAAACGAGTTAAGTGTGTTTCTAAATGCGTGTTTCAATGTGTATTTGTTATGTGTTTGTGTAGATCTTGCACCTAAGTCGTTTTTTGTTGGTTTGATTCGTCTAACTTGCTATTGGAGCCATCTGTGAGTAATAACTCTGTAAAGTTATGTTTAACTTTAATTATTTTCTAATGATATGAAATGATCGGTTTTCTGAAATGCTATGTTTTCTATAAATGAATGATTATCTAAGTTTCTAAAATGTATTCGTGGCATCCTTAGCATCATATGATATGCGTCCTTTTATGGGTCATCGGAATTTTCTTTATGGTTGTTTCTTTATGGGTCATCAGACAGTTGTCCCTTTATGGGTCATCGGAAACATCTCTGTGCACGAGTTATCAAAATGCCTCTATAGTTGTCCCTTTATGGATCATCGGAATGCCTCTATGGCCGTCCCTTTATGGGTCATCGGATTTGTTAACACTAATGGATGTACCATGTATGATCATGTGAAATGTATGAACTTTGAAAATGAATATGAATATGTCTCTGTTTCTGAATATGAACATAAATTCTGAATCTGTTATAGACATCATTCATTAAAATCTTTACTCTGTTATTATTCACTGGACTCTAACTCATCATATTATTTATGTATGTAGGTGCTAAGGTGCATGACCAGGCCTAAGTTGTTGCCTAGAGGTCAGTTTTGTCTAGCCAACCACAGCGCCTCTGGTGGAGGTTCCAAAACTTGCTTATGGTCAATGTTTTGTGATCTAGAATTTCGTTTAAGTTTTCTTTTGTTTTATTTGTATGTTGGGCTAAGTCCCATTTTGGTTATTTGTACGTGAAGTGATGTAAGACTGTTGCTTATATGAATATAAAGTTTTAAATTTTTTGTCCTATGTATGTTTACACAGCTCTATGGACGTTATATGTTTGTATTTGCTTCCGCAGCCCCTTACTATGTGATGATCTGTTCAGAGGCCTTTGGTAATTTCAGGATTACTGCCCAGTGACGACGCTAAACCTATAAGGGCGGGTTTAGGTTGTGACAATTTTAAATCTGACAGTAGAGGGCATATATTGATACAATTTAAAAAATTTTATGGGTAAAATTGAAATTATTTGAAATCTAGAGGTGTAATTGAAAATCGAGTCAAAGTATAAGAGTAAAAATAAATGTTGAGTTTGGTTTAGTTTTGGAATTGTGATTCTCTTTTTGGAGTTGTGATATGAGTGTAGAATTGTAAGTTGAGTTTTGAAAAGAGTTTTGAGTTGTATTTTGAGTTTTTGAATTTTGAGTTGTATTTTGAATTTTTTGGATTTATTTTTTTAAAATATTAAAAAAATTTAAGAAAATTTTATTTTTTTTTAATTTATATAATTTTTATTTAAATATTTTTTATTGTAAATATTTTAATATTTTAAATTTTAATATTTTAAATTCAAAACACAACTTCACACTCAAATCGTAATCAAACACTTAACTCAAAACACAAAACTCAATTTAAAAATTATTTTCAAAATTCATAAACAAACACATAATTTGAAACGGCATTGTCACGCCCTCAAAATAATAATATTAAACCCATCAATATAAACATACATTTATATACAAAAGATCCACATTCTCTCAAATAATCAGAGTACTTCATTACAAGAGTATTACACGTTAACAACAAAAGTAAATGCCCTGCGGGCTTACAGCTTTCCAAGTTATCACTTGGTTACAAAAGAGAGTATTAACTCGGTTACACATTAAGCCCTTGGCTTGAAATTACATGTAATACATCAAAAGGAAAATAAGGCAACAAAAGTATGTCTTGTCCCTAGCCTCCCAAGCTATGTTCGTAGAGGCGGCATGCTACCTGTACCTGAAAATGATGTTCCCATATAGGGTGAGCCACAGCCCAGCAGAGATATACTAAACCAACTATGAACAATGATTAAAAGATTAGCAACTGATAGGTGGTCGATACTTACACTTCCATTTACATCTTATTTCAATTCCATGACAACCAAACCTATGTTACAATTCACCTTTCATTTCTTATTCAACTTTGAGTTTGAAAACAAAACAGGGCTCAGTACTCTGGCCAAAACATTTTGATGAGATTATAGTTCATCACTAGAACATTTTCAAAATTCACGGTGGATACACATTTTGGTGTTGTATCAATAACACATAAACTACTTCCATACTTCACAAACGATGATGATATACATTTTAATGCTATATCAAATCAAACAGACTTTTCAATAGATAAACATATGAGCTATATCACTACTACAACAGATAAGCATGTGAGCTATATCAACATTCCAATAGATAAGCATATCACACATCAACAGACAAGCATATTAGCTGTATCCACACTTCACTAGACAAGCATATGAGCTGTATCTACACTTCACTAGACAAGCATATGAGCTATATCTACACTTCACAAAGATAAGCATATGAGCTTATCTACACTTCACAAAGATAAGCATATGAGCTGTATCTTCACTTCACTAGACAAGCATATGAGCTGTATAAAACAAGACTTCACACTCAAATCATGATTCTAAAAATAATTTTAAAATACAAAATAAAAAAATATTTTTTTGAATTTTTTCTTTTAAAATAGAGTTTTGAAAAGAATTTAGTTTTGAGTTTTGAAAAAAGTTTTAAATTGAGTTTAGAATTGTGTGTTTGGTTATGAGTTTAGAAATTAATTTTTGAATTGAGTTTTAAGTAAATTTTGAATTGTGTGTTTGATTATGAATTTTAAAAAGTGATTTGAAAATTTTAACTCTGGACTCATGATTCTGAAGGCAAACCAAGTAAAACCAAAATTTTCTCTAAATCATATTACAGAACAAAACGACCTATTTTGAGAATAAGGTTAAAAGACAGCTTATTGGCTTTGTAGTTGTTTGGGATGTGCTATATAAGTACATTTTTGACTTTTGATTAAGAAATTAGAGAAAAAAGATGTATGTTTAAGATAATTTTTTGACTTTTTACGAAAAGATGTGTAATAAAATATTGTAGTAAAATCAAAATGACCATTTTACCCTTTTGACTTTTGACTTTTAACTTTTTGACTTTTTGGGTAATTGAATTCAAAGAACAAAATAATAATTTTGCCCTAATAACTCCCCAAACAAGCTACTCTTGAATAGTATAGACTTTTTAATTTTTTTAGTACTCGTTTGGAAAGAGTTGGATTGAGATTTTTTTTTGACTAAAATAGTCACAAAAAAACAAAATAAGTTTTTTAATCTAATAAGACAAAACATCACATCCAACTCATAATCATTATATTTTTTTCATACAAAAGTCAAAAAAATCAAAAAGTCCATTCCAAACGCAACTTTTTAGTCGCAGGTTAAAATAGTCAAAAACCTAAAAAACCATAGAATTTTTTAACTTTTTAAGTTTATCCCAAAGAAGACCTTAATTTTTTTAAATCATATCACATCTCTATTTTTTTTTCACTTTTTACTCAAAAAAAAAAAAAAAAAAAAAAAAAAACCAATTTTTAACCTCCTCCCTAAATTAGGCCGACCGAACTCAATCATGATCAGTCGAATATTAACCGTGTGATTAAAACCGATTATAGCACGAATCTAGAGGAAAGATAAGTTTATCTCTGCAAAAAATTGCCCCTCACGACGAAAAAGAGAGAGATAGACAGAGAGAAAGAGCACCGAAGCCAAAACCATAGTACCAGAAAATCCACACCCCCAAACAAACCCACCCTCTCTCTCTATTTTTCTCAAACTCTCTCTCTTAATTTCTTCGATGGCAAGTAATAACGCACATTCATGGGTCATTCATCGTTGGTGTCTTAAAACCCTAACCCTAACGCGAAGATAGTCATCATCTCTCAACTATACACTCTGAAACTGTCGAACCGCTATGGACGAAGAGAGGTTCGTATCTTCTCGAGAAAACCCTAGATTTCTTGGTGGGTTCAGCAACGGTGGTATCAACAACGTCAATAAACCCATCATGCCTGGTGGTGAAATCGTAGTGCAAAAGGGTCTGCCTACGATTCTCGATCGATTCAAGGCTATCTTGAAGGAGAGAGAAGAGGAAATGATGGTTTTGTCAAGCGAAGAGGTTACAGTAGAAATTGTAAGGCTCTATGAATTGGTTTTGTCGGAGCTCACTTTGAATTCCAAGCCAATCATCACCGATCTCACGATAATTGCTGGAGAACAGAGAGAGCACGCCGAGGGGATTGCTGATGCGATTTGTGCGAGGATTATTGAGGTACGAGTGTAGTTGCAACAACTCAGAGTTTGTGAATCGTTTTTGAATTTTTTAAAAGTTTTGTGTACTTTTCTGTACGTAATTACCTTGATTTTGGTCTTTTGGAGTGTCAAATCTTTAAAATTGCACTAGTTCCTGGCTCAGTTATAATGCATTTGATTAGTATTCGAATTCTTACTGCCAAAGCTGGATTCTTTGTATTTCTTGTAGAATAATTTGCACATGTGCTTGATGGAAAGTGAATTCTTATTAGGGCATATCTAATCCTTCATTCAAACCCAAATATCTAATTTTAATTTGGGTAAAAATCAGTCAAAACACTCCCCAAAATTTTACCCAAGTCGAGGGAGACTCAAATCAAATGTTTACTAAAATTTTGAATAAGGGCGGAGGTGACATTATTTTGTCTTCCAATTTGAATAATCCTGAAGCTTGCGCAATGGGTTCAACAATAATAATAATCATATCAACAATAATATCTCAGCTGTATGGACAGTATTTTTATGTAATGGGCAGCGGGGATGAAGGCTATTTCTGTATGGAAAAACTCAATTTCTGAAAATGAATAACAAGTGTGAATTTCAGGACTACAAATGTCTTTTTTTCCTGCACAAACATTTCTTTTTTCTCTGTACCAAAGAAATTTCAAATTAAATTGGTGCAAACACATATTGAAAAGCTATATTTTTTGCTACATTTTTTAGTGATACCATACATTCAAGTTTGTTTTGCCTAATTTGTAATCCTAAAGCACTGGTTTGAGTCCAATTTCTGTTGGAACCTATAATTTGCCTAATGTAGAGGGAAACGTGAAGGAAGTCTCAACCAAAGTTGTTAATCCGGTTGGGACAAAGTATCATTTTTTCAATTGGTATGGTATGGTATCTACGGGTACCGGTATGTTCCCGGGTACCTTTTCGGATTTATCACAAAAATATTATATGTATTAAAAATATTGTCTAGTAGCAAATAATTTAAGGCTACAGAATCATGAAACACAAATTTATATGTAAATTGAGATGTAAGCGTCTCGGGCATGTTTGTTAGAGGTGTCAATGCAAATTATGACTTGAGTGGGGTCTCTGGCACTTTGGAGCTTTTGAGATACAAATTCAGTTTAGAAATAGTGTATTTAGGTTTTCCTTTGGGAGTTGGTTTTTTTGCCGCCTTCTTGTTGAGTCAATATTTTTTTTGCTTTTGAGGTTCGTTTAGACTAGGCAACCCTAATAATGGCTCTCTCAGTAATGCTCTATCTGTAATATTCGTGGTTCATTTGTAACTCAGAGTCACCAGACTCACTACTTTTGTGTTGTTTGATCAAACAAATGCAGACTTGAAGAAATTTAGGGTATGTTATGAAGGGAGTTGGAATTTGGTGATTGTAGTGGAGATTGGTTCCAGTTCTAAATTGCTAATAACATCAGATAAAAAGGTCTATAAAACTGATATATAACCAGTTATGTGCTAGTGTTTAAAGACCATGTTCAATGATTTATGGTGATGAAATGTATATGCTAAACTGAATGATAGCAATATTGGAAAAAACTATTGATTAATAACTTGAGATAGAAATAGTGTTTGATAGAATTTTGAGATATGGCACTACTTAGAAGTTGTAGGTGAAGTGTGTGTAGAGGTAGTCGGTTGTTGACCTCTGGAACAATGGCGGACACTTCAATGGCTTGAGATTACTGGAGCTGGAGAGGAGGTGGCTAAGGCAAGCTTGGAGAGGGAGAGGGAGAGGTTGGCGGTGATGGACTTTGAACACTAGTATATAAGTGTGTTTTCAAGTGTGAGTATGAGTATCTAAGTGTAAGACTTGTGTGTTGTGAATTTATGTTGTGGTGTCTCTTTGCCTGCTGCATATATGATATGTTATATAGGCTCCTAGAGCATTGGAGCCCAAGCAACCTGTTGGACAGGTGGCTTGTTCTTCCCAATCCTGCTAGGAGCTGATATAAGCTCTTTTGTCTTTTGCGGTTTGATAGCAGGGGGAGAGTAACATATCATATATTCATTAGGTGCTGAGTGTAAGGTCGCTATTGCCTTTTCTCTAAGCCTGATCAAGATGGAGTTGACTTAGTAAGAAGACAACTATCTTGACGATCCTATGACCTGAGCCGCCAGTCCAAGATCCTCTAATGATGCTCGAGTCCTGCTCTCAAACTTGGCGACCAAGTAGGGGAATGGGCCAAGGGCCTGTTTAGGAGAGCTAGGGGCTCGCTCTTATCAATTGAAGTCCAACGTATGCAAGTAGGCTGAGGGCTTGATTATATTGTTGTTGGAGTTGGAGCAACGTATGAAGGACCACGGGCCTGCGGGGGCCATGGTGCTGCTTGTTGAAGGCTCTTCATACTTGGGCTTGTGTGCATGCTTCCGTTTAGGCTAAACATGTAGTCTTGGTTTTGCATGGTGCCTTGAGGGTTTGCTACGCAAGCAAGTATTGGTGACATGGCGCCCGTAGAGCTTGCCATGTATTAGGCATGTGATATGTTCGCGTGGTGCCTTGTTAGTCTGCCACGTGAGCGGGGCTTTGATGATGTGGGCACCCATGGGGCTTGCCACATATTAGGCTTGATACAAGTACCTACAAAAGGATAGCCTGGCTATGATTAAAGAATTTAAAAGGATTAGAGGAGGTACTTAGATTGGTATTGAGGGAACAGATTGAGATAATTATATAACATAAGATGTGCTGAAGTTGAGTTTTAATGACCCCAAATATTATATGGGTTGCTGTACAAGTTGAAAAGTGGTTTCTGTGTATTATGCAGTCCGACATAACTGCATAAATAAATTTTGAAGTCATATGTCTTGTGACAATTCTGGAAAGAAAGGCAGTCCTCATAGTCTATGGAAAACTGCTTGGAACTCAAATTTATATGACTCCTTATACTCCAAATATCAGATATTTTGCTAATATGAAATATCATATTTGTAATTTAAAAGAACAAGTCAAAGTCTTCTATTCAGCATCTTCATGTTGCCATACATGACGATAATGGTAATTAAAGTATTTGAAATTGAGAGTATGCGCCTTCTTTTAGTGGGTCGGGCGTTGACCTTTCTCATAATTTTTGTTGGTTTGCTGACCTTTCCTGGGGCCAGCTGAGTAATTGCCGTTATTCAATATGTCCCAGGAACCGATGGAGACTTGTCTGTGATCTGATTTATGGCATGTATATTTTGATAGTGGCATTTGTATCATCTGTAACTCCAAAATAGCCATCTTGCTTATATTTTTTTCTAAGCCCAGATGTACTATTTTAGTTTAATTTTCTATACAGCGGACCGTAAAGAGTGTTTTGGTTAAAGACCCTAATGAGTTTATACGTATGTGTTCTGTTCTGGATTTTTCAACGCTTGATATGTCAGCTATTTAGGGAACTGAGGATGCATACACTTTTACTACTTGTGTCCTTTCCTTGGTAGTTGGTATAGCTGCTGAAAACATGGTCGATAAGTTAACGAAATGTGTAATATATACAATTTCTTTTTCTCTGATAAGTAGAAGACATTACTACTATTGTTTTTTGATAAATTAATAATTTGAATTACTTTTTTGTGTGCAAATATTATTAAGTTTGGTCCTCGGGCTTATTCCCCCTCACCCCCTCTTCCTGGGTTTTTGCCAAAGCAATTCTTCTTTTTGTCTTCTCGAGTCCCCCTTCAGTTTATACATCCAAAACATTTGGTATGACCTGTTCATTTATTGTGTAGTATTTTAGGGGGACTTGCTTATTCTTATTATCTGATATTGTAAAATGAACCACCATTCTCTTATGCTTTGCTTTTTTCAGGCTTCAGTTGAGCAAAAACTTCCTTCTCTTTATCTTTTAGACAGCATCGTGAAGAATATTGGCCGGGAATATGTTCGGCACTTCTCTTCCCGTTTGCCTGAGGTGAGTCGTATTTTGAATATGATGCATCATTATTTTTATATTCTTCAGGACATTTACATTCATGTGGATGCATTAGTTTTGTTGTAGGTGATTCTAATACACCCTAGTTTCTTTTTTACATATGATTTATCTTTTGCCAAGGTTTTCTGCGAGGCCTACAGGCGAGTTCACCCTAACCTGCATCCTGCTATGCGCCACCTCTTTGGGACCTGGTCGACAGTGTTTCCACCTGCAGTACTTCGCAAGATTGAGGCTCAATTGCAATTTTCTCCATCAGCAAATAATAAATCTACTGGCCTGACTTCCATGCGGGCTTCTGAATCGCCTCGACCCACTCATGGAATACATGTCAATCCAAAATACTTGGAAGCAAGACGTCAATTCGAACATTCAATTGCGGATAATGTAAGCTTCTCAATGAGATCTCCGTCCCTTGCCCTCTCATTGATTAGACTGCAGCTTATCTGTAAAATCATCCAGCAGGACATTTTTACATCAGTGTACATGTCATATATGTTAAACATTGCTTTGTTGGATTACTATCTGTTTATCTGCTATTTTGAATAATAAATGTAATATTTGGATCCTTAACTCTTCTACATCCTTCATCCCCCATTGTGTTCAATTACTATGTGAAATGTGCCCGACTTCGTTTTATTTATACATTAAAGGGATAATCTGGATGCTGAATAAAGGTAAATTCATGTTAAAAGAATGTATTGATTATAATAATCACAGCTGAAACTTGTTGTTTGGAGGTTTAGCAGGAAGAAAATAGTATAAGCAATACAGATGGATTTGACTGAATTTTTAATGCATTAGTGCTTGGTTTAATGAGACATCACCAGGAATAGTGATCATGTCCCATGATGTATGGGGCCGTTCCCTGGGCTTTTAGCATGTGAAAACTATTCTCTCTCTCTCTCTCTCTCTCTCGTAATTTTATTTTTTTTTATATGTTGGCTATGTGATGTAGCTGCTGTAGCATGTTAGGTGTCCCCACTTTCCAAGCAGTTTGTGCTGGACTTCAAAATGTTAGGCATGGTAGCTGGGTGTACTGCTTTCTTTCAAAAGCAGTTACAGAACATACTGATGAACTGAACTTGGTTTAGTATGTATGCAATTCTCCTTGTAAACATAAAGGTTTAATTTAGTTTTTTTGGGGGAAGGTATGGTGGACATTGTGAATTTGCAGTTTTTGGGTAGCGCCATTTTTTCATACTGGCCTTAAAGTGAAGTTTTATTTTCATTTTGTTATTATTTATTTATAAATAAGCAGTTTCTGTAGCAGGTTGCTACGTTGGTAGCCCAATAATCTTTTGCCAGGAACTCCACTTTTCCATAGTCCAAGCTTTCTTTCCTTGACAAGTATAATGGGGTCTAGTAATTTACTTTTTGTTTTGTTTTTTTGTCACTTGAATGTGGCTTCTTTAATTCAGTTGATCTCTCTCTTGCAAATCCTTATCGACATTTTGTATGAATCCTAGTTTGTTCTTTAGATTCTTGGCAAAGCTCACCTAAGTATCTAGAGTGCCTTGAAAAGGAAAGCTTTTCCCCAGATTAGGCTCATCAGAAGGTAATGGTTTGGACATATATCAGACCCGGAAATATGAGGCATCTCTTAAGTTTCTGCATGTGTGAAGTTGCTTTCCATGCATAGCTCAACTAGTTGTTTTTGTTTTTTGAGCTTTTGCTTATAGAATTTGGTCTATTTGTTTAGGGGTTGCTGCTACTGTCAGGTTGCTCCTCAAGGGTTTTCTACTTATTTTTTGGTTTAGTTGATTTCCCGGGTTTTGGAGGCCCTACGGGTTGGATGTCTTGGAGTGCTGGATTATATTTGGGTTACTTTGTAAATATAGATTATAGGTTTATATTCAGTAAAGAAGCATAGAAGTTAGAGGAGTAGTGTGGGTGATTCTTGGAACCACGGAGGTATTCCTTTCCTCTGAAAGCATACCATAGATTGGACAGACTGGTGTTGTTTGTTATTTGCTTGTTGATCACTTTGATCGTGATTCTCTTAAACTAACATTTGTTGTGGTTATCTTTTATGTGTTCTTTTTTTGTCATTCTGCCCACTATCATTAAATGTGTCATATTTTACTTTCACACTTGCTGGGATGGATTTTCTTTTTATTTCATATTCCCTGTTTGTGCATGTGGTGAATAACAATTATTGAAGGGTAGTTTTATTTGTAATGCTTGCAGAACAATCAGGATCCAAGAGGATCTTCTTCAACTTTAAAGATCTATGGACAAAAACTTGCCAGTGGATATGATGAATATGATTCTGATAATGCAGAAGTCATGTCATCACAGACTGGAGCCCAACAATTGAGCTCAACTGGTCATGCAGGTCATACTTCTTTTACTCTTGGTGCTGGAAAGCTGCTTCCAACTTCGGCTGCCAGGCTTGCAAAGTCGTCCTCTCCTTTTAGAATTGAGCGTGGCAGGTCATTATCACCTCCAGGTGATGAATTTGCAGTGGATAATTCTCCCAGAAGGGTTGTTGAACAGGCTTCCCCCTCTCATCTTGGATTTGAATATGGATTTGCCAGAAAGACAGCCAGAGAGGATGTATCAAGTGACTGGATGAGAAATCACTGGTCTGATGGTAATTATAGGCGATTTGAAACTTCTGCTGTATATAATAATGATGTTGAGCTGCAAAGACCGAGAGCGTTAATTGATGCTTATGGAAATGATCAAAGGAAACAAACTCTGAACACCAAGCCTTTGAAGGTTGATATCAATGGCATAGACAATAAGGTTGGTACAAAAACATGGCAGGATACTGAAGAAAAAGAGTTTGATTGGGAAGATATGAGCCCAACTTTTGTAGACCGCAGTCGGAGTAATGATCTACTTCCACCATCAATTCCACCTCTTGATAGCTTTAGGACAAGACCTGGCCATGGAACATACAATCCATTACCCCTGGGCACTGATTTCAGGAGAAGAAACATGTCCAGTCATGCGCATGCGCAGATTTCTTTGGTTAATGATTCTTCAACTAATCTTGAAGATGCAGTTCCAAATGTCAATGTATGTTTCCTCAACTTGTTTTATGTGCCATTATAATTGTTGAGTTTTGATGATATGTCATTTAAAGTCATGGGTAAATTACAATTACTTCCCCTTTGGTTTATGACAAATACATTTGATTTCCTGAGGTTCTAGAAAATGCATCTGTCCCCTGAGGCTTCAAATCACATAACAAATACCCCTTCTGTTCTTCAACCGTTAGGTCAACTATCAGAATTTTATGCTGTCAGTAATTTTAAAGTTTAAAATTCTCTTTTTACCCCAAGAATAATCTAATGTATTTGAAGAGCACTGCCCTCAAAGCTAAGCCTGAACCTTCACACTTGACATCCCTAGATTTACCATTGCCCCCCTTGTCCCCTACTTGCAGAACAAGTATATAATATCATAATATGTATGTCTTTGCACAACATAAAAGAATTCAGACTAAAAAGCTCCGCAAATCAATTCGACTGTATCTATCTCCAAAGCAACAATCTAGTGTTGCAATTCCTTCGATGAGAAACATTTGGAAAAGGAAGTAACATTTAGTTGAATCCTAGAGTAAACAATGAAAACATTTGGAGATTAGAAGTTACTTGCATAGATCAAACTTAAAAGGGGTGGGGTCCCTTGAGAAATGCACTGGACAGCAGCAGACAATGAGTGTTTCACATGTATGGTCCATCACTGCTTGAAGGGTCATTGCATTTGCACCCATACCTCCAACACTATTCAGCGTAGTGGAAACAGACTTTGTTGGAACCTGAGTTTTCTGTATAGGAGGGCCTAACCTGAAAAGAGCAACGTAGAACCACTGCATGCAAAACAACTTTAAAAGTGGCTGATCCACATCTACACTAGGAACAAAATCTGAACATATTTCAACAGTAGCAGGAAGTAGAGGTACAAGCAAATCTGCTCCACCCCTGTGGATGTTAAGGCCTAAATCAATAAATATCTAAACACATGCACTGAATTGGTGGTGGGTTCATAGCCGGTACTGGTAGTGCGGTGTGGGTGTGGGTGTTTTTCGTTGGTAGAGGTAATGGAGGAGGTGGTGGTGAAAGGTGATGTGTCTGTGTGAGGTGGCTGTGAGAGGTGATGGTGAGAGAGAACAGAGATGTTTGATGCTCTGGTTGTGGTATAGGGCTGGATGAGGGGATGAAGGGGCGTTAGTAAACTGTTTGTGCTTTAGTTTGTAAGGGTAATATGCTAATTTTATTTTTTCTGTTAACCCATTAAAAGTCAAAACTCTGACAGAGGGGAATTGCAATTTTCAGAAACACAAGGGGAATTTGTAGGTAACTGTAATTTATCATAAAAACATTGGTCTTATAATTCTCATTTATTTAAGCTATTACTCTATGAGTCTGAGCATATCGTTGTCTGCTTTGTTCAATCTGATGTACGAACTTTAATTGGTGCATTCTATTATTACTACCTACTTTGGGTTGGTCCTTTTCAGTTATTCTAGCCCCCTTTTAGGTTTGTCAACTGTATAATATCCAAAGAGCATGGGCATGAACATGCAACATGATATGATACAGATACGTTGACATGATAAATTTTCACAATGCAGAACACAACATGTGGAGGACTTGAGCGTAAATATAGTTTTATATATTTATCTTGTCATATATATGAGCATTCCTTTCAAAGATAATAAAGATTACAACATAAATCTAATTTCCAAACTTTGAAGTAGGTAAGAATAATAGTTGTAAATATATTAATATACATAGGTTTTCTTTTTATCATTGAATCCCAAGTTATTTTGTCCAAACTTAATATGTGTTTCTTATGTGTTTAAGTGATTGACATATGTGTCTCTCAAAAAAATGTGTTTAAGTGATCGATATGTGTGTCTCCCAATTGTCCATCTTCGATTTTTTTTTCTTCTTTTGTTGCAATGAATTTGTTCATTTATGCTTAGAATTAAAATGAACTTTTATGTTACAGCCTTGCTATTACATTTGAAAATTTGAAAATTCTCCTGCAGTCAGGCGGTGGATCAAGCAGTAACATTATGGGATTACATGATGAGACTACACAATTTTTGGGATCTCGTTATCCTCAAGAAGCTCGGAATTTTCCGCACTATCTTGCTCAGTCTTTGCAACATCCTCTTAATTTCAAAGGAAGTGCAAGGCATTTCCAAAAATTTCCTTCATCAGGTGGTGAGCAAAATCCTCCAATTAACAGTTTTCCAGATGCCGATTCACAAAATCACGGGTCCTCTACTGTGGTATCAAGGATGGGAGCTGCAAGTATTGATTCTTGGAAGTCCGAGCCTCTGTCAGATTCTGTACCACCATCAACAGGGGCTTGGCCTCCAGTACATATACAAAAATCTCACCCACTTCCTATGCTACCTCATCTTCCATCGCAGCAACAGAGTAAGAGCCAGTTTGATTCAATAAATGCTAGCAATACAATTATGAATCAAGGTCTAAATAAGTCATTTTTGCCTGAGCATCAGTTTAATGGTATTGAAAACAAGGCACTGAGCTCGATAAAGCTGCCTTCATTTCACAATCAGCAGGCTGGACGATTCCCTTCAAATCCACAGAACCCGGAACAAGTCACTTCTGTACATCCTCAATTGCCATTGTCTCAGGATGTTCGGCAAAATTTGGTTCCACCTCCTGCAGTTCCTGCTGTGGTTTCCATGCCATCTCTGGTACCACCCTTGGCTCATGGATATAACCTACAAGGGAATAATACCACTATAAGTAATGTACTGTCAAACTCAGCTCCTGGTGTGCATCCATATATGCCGATTCTCAGTACACCAAGCAGCTCTATGCTTTTTCAAGGGGGTGGTTTGCCGCCTTTACCTCCAGGGCCTCGTCCTACTTCATCACAAATGTTACCTATCTCACACAATCCAGTTCCCATTGGCCCTCATCCTCAATCTGGGAGTGCATTTTCGGGTTTGTTTAGTTCTCTCATGGCTCAAGGTTTGATCTCATTGACAAAACAAGCTCCTGTGCAGGTATGCATTTGTATAAAATTGCTTCATATGTTTCAACTCTGTAAATGATTGTATCTGAGTCAAGTGATTCAATGTGTAGGATTCTGTTGGACTTGAGTTCAACCCTGATGTTCTTAAGGTGCGCCACGAATCTGCAATAACTGCTTTATATGCTGATCTCCCAAGACAATGCACGACATGTGGCCTTAGGTTCAAATCCCAAGAGGAGCACCGTAGTCATATGGATTGGCATGTCACAAGAAACCGGATATCCAAAACCCGTAAGCAGAAGCCTTCCCGTAAGTGGTTTGTCAGTGTTAGCATGTGGCTTACTGGCACAGAAGCAATGGGAACTGAGGCAGCCCCTGGGTTTTTACCTGCTGAGAGTGTTGTGGAGAAGAGGATGATGAAGAATTTGCTTGTTCCTGCTGATGAGGATCAATGTCTGTGCACTGTGTGGAGAGCCTTTTGATGATTTTTATAGTGATGAGACTGAGGAATGGATGTACAAGGGAGCTGTATACATGAATGTTCCCAATGGGTCAACAGCAGGCATGGATAGGTCTCAGTTGGGCCCCATAGTACATGCAAAATGCAGGTCCGAGTCTAGTGTGGTTTCCCCTGAAGGTTTTGGACTAGATGGAGGGGTATGTGCTTCTTCTCCTTTACTTCTGCATATTCATTTTCTCAATATTATTGTCTAATTTAGGTCAAAATATAGGTAATCATATAATTGGGGATAATGCAACTATGGGGTTTGCGCGTGGTTGTCTATGCACACAATTGTTTTATGCTATGAAGCACGGACATGGACACGGTGATTTCATAAAAATGGGGACACGGTGGGGGACACAACAAATTATTGTTATTATATATATATATTTTTTACCAAACAATCAAAATTAATAAAAACTAACATTAATTTAATATATGTATATATATATGAACCAATACATTTAAACAAATTAATAGATCATTCATATTTGGACATGTGTGTCCCCAGTGTGTCCCCTGCAAAAAAATAAAAATAAAAATGAAAGCCGTTTCTCTGGTGTTTCCCAGCCGTGTCCTTTGCAAAAAAAATAATAAAATTAAAATGACACACCATTTGGTGTGTGTGTCCCGTACGTGACCCTGGCATGTCCCCATGTCCGACACCGCTACGGCGCCTATTTCGAAGTGTCCATGCTTCATTTTATGTGAGATGGGATGTATATGATGGAAGAATGAATATAAGTGCAATAACTTGGAAGCTTGGCGTACTTAAATCAAATAAATTAGTTTTTAGACCTTTGCCAACGTGAAACATCAATCAAGTAATGTTCTAGATTCCGTGTCTTGTTTGTATGTGTGTGTCTCTCTCTCTATTTTTTCCCTGTCTTATCGTATCTTTTCTTGCTGGTTTATGGCATTAGTGTTTCATAGCAAACATCTGTCCTTGTCCTCATATGGGAAGAAAAGTCACCATGACTCTTTAGAAAAAACTTGTAGGCGAAAGTGTTGGAATGTTAATGGGGGGTAGACATATACTAACACTCTGTTTGGATTGAGGAGTTGGTGAGAGAAGAAAAGATATGGAGAGAATAAGGTTTCTCATCACTTGTTTGGATGATTAATCATGTGAGAAATGGTGAGAAAAGAAGAGAAATGATGAGAAAGACAAACCCCTCATAACTTAAGGCCTGGTTTGGGGTGTTTTAAAAAAGTCAAAAAGTTATAAAAAAACAAAAAAGTTATCACTATTCACAAATTAAAAATATTAAAAATTAATATACATAATATTTTAATCAAACAAACTTTACACAATTTTCGAGACTGAATTGACCCTTTGGTACCGTGAGAGGGAAAAAAAAAGAATTACATATATAAAATCACTAAGTTGGACGAAAATGTTAGGCCCATGGGGGCCCACGTTTTGATAATTTCAACCGTTCAATATGTAGAACTCGTCCAGAACTATATGTCTGTAAAAAATCACGTTGATCGGAAATCGCTAACTACATGATCAAATTAGTTTTGTATAAAAAATGGATGGTATTATAGTTAATAGTTGACAAGAAAAATTAACACGATCAGATAGCTATTGATATCCAATCAATGTGATTTTTTAGAAGCATATAGTACTCGACGAGTTTTACACATTGAACGGTTCTGATTAACAAAACAGGACCTGTGGTGGGCCCCGACGGGCTGAACAACACCGTTCATTTCAAACCTGAAAAGTAGGTAATCATTTCCCATCTCATACCAACCCATTAGCCTGCCCAATATGTACGGCCGAATCCACTAACTTCTCCTACATAATTATTTATACAATTTTTTAATACACATTTTTTCGTAAAAAGTCAAAAAGTTAACCCAAACGTTAATCTTTTTTTCCTTAACTTTTTAGTCTAAAAAGATAAAAAGTGCACTTATTTACGACACCCCAAACAACCCCTAAGTTTTGTTTCTCACCAAAAGTGAGATTTGGTGAGAAAAAATTATAATACCTAAACTACCTCTCTAAATACAAAGCAAATAAAATAAGACATATGTATCCTCTTTTAATATTGTTTATCCAAACAAGGTGGTGAGAAACCTCAATCATTTCATTTTCTTTTCTCACCTAAGTGAGAAATTACAATTGTTAAAACCTACCACTACCACTACCACCTACTACACCTACTCCACCCACTTCACCTACTCCACCCACTTCATCTACATCTCCTATATAAGGAGTCCCTCATATTTGTAATTTACACAATATATATCAATCAATAATACATCAATTTTTACATGGTATCAGAGCAGGTTTAGAACCTAATATTTTCGCTTCCCCAGCGGGCGGCAACCTCACCTTAGCCGCCCGCCAGGACTCAACCTAGTCCGCTAAAATTGTCTACACATACCTTGAAATTTCTTCGAGTCCACCACTTTCAATTTTTTCTACACCGATGCTCCTCCTTCCGCCACCAGCTACACTGTCCTCCACATCATCAGCGATCTCGTCTCCCTCCTCGTTGTGCAAAAGCGTCTCGAAAACCACCGCTTTGGACACAAGTAGTCGTCACAGATTCTTCTGAATTCATCGATGGTGTCCCGGGTCGCCGCTTTTTAGGTGAGGACTGAAAATTCAGTGCTCCTCCGCTGCCGCCGGACTTGCCCATGAGAATTTCTTGCCCTGGAGTAACCTTCTTCCAACCTCTTTGACCACAGACCAAAAAATTATATCTTCTGGAACAAGCTTCCCTTGGTTCACAGCATTCGCAATCTGTTTATAGATGGAGGAGTGAGGGTGGAGCTCTTGCAAAATTGCTAAAACAGCAAAACCCATGAAAGGGGAGTACATCACCAGCAGCTTATCTGATGCCTTGTTGGACCTCATCAATTCTGATAATATCGCAGCCATGGAAGTGAAAGCGGAGGCGCCATAGATCAAGCAAGTGGTGGGAAACCAAGACTTGCCAGCCAAAATGGCGTAAAGATTGGCGAGACAGAGGGGCCACTGGAAGAGCAGCTCGATGTTTTGTTACTCTCTCCAAACTCAAGTTGGTTAGTTCCTATCCCCCTTGAGTTTGCGGGGGGCTGTTAAAACCTACCACTACCACTACCGCTACCGCCTACTACACCTACTCCACCCACTTCACCTACTCCACTTCACCTACTCCACCCACTTCATCTACATCTCCTATATAAGGAGCCCTCATATTTGTAATTTACACAATATATATCAATCAATAATACATCAATTTTTACAACAATCATTTAATTTCTTTTCTCATTACTCGATCCAAACGGAGTGTAAATGAATTGGGGCATATTTTATATCGTGCCCTAGGAGAATACCCAATGGAGTAAGGTTTTAAGAATTAGAGAAGTAAATCATGATATATTCATTCAGAAATATTAGGCATATTTGGTGGCTATTGAAGCCCAACTTGTGTTTAATTCTTTTGCTCTTGATAAGAGATAGTAGTGGGTTGTGCATGCCTCTTATGCTTGCATTATTTGAAACTAAAAGTGATGCCCCACACATTGCGTGCCATAGACGGTTGCTTTTGAATGGTGAATTCTACGACTTTACCCTTACAGTTAAGACAAACAAAATTTTTTCAAACAGTCAGAAAGTTGTTTTTGTTGGACAATTTTGAAAACCAAAAAAGCATTACACAAATTCAAAAAAGTGTATACACCAAGCTGACCTGTTCACCTTGATTTGCAGGGATATACTGAAGAGGGTAGTCAAAGGAAACGGTTGCGGAGTTAGCTTGCTTAGATTGTCTTTTAGGTTCTCTCTACCATAATCCTGACTTTCGTCTGTTAATGGTATGCTTTTAATTTACGTAGCTTTGGAGCTGGCGATGCCTTGGTCTCTTGCCAGAATCATGTACATGTATAGTTGAACTTGTACCATGCGCATTCTCTTGCAGAAAAAAGGTTACAGATACATCTCTTTTCTGGCACTCTGCTCTTCACTTATCGATCAAACTTAAAGAGGGATTTAAAACCTTGTTTTTTATACTGTTACTAATAGGCATTTTCTTCCATTTTTTTGACCTTTGAATTGTATTATGAAATCAGAATCTACAAAGCCGAGATCTACAAGATGGGTATTCCCGAAATTTTCTGCCATTTGTTTCTGTTTTTGCAGGGGGGGCCTGGATTAGCAATAGTTCATGTCAGCACCTAGAATGTGGCCTCCTTGCTGACTCATTGACAAGCCTTTTCGTTGGACAGCGTTAGCGACACCGTGCCCCCAAAATTTTCTTTTCTTCTTTGAATTAAACTTTTTATCGAGTAGGACGACAGGTTGCGATTATTATTAGGATTAAATCAACAAATTTCAGTGCACTTAAATTAACAGGTTGCGATTTCCTTGTGTGGAAAGTGTATGATAATTTCTCCTGACTAATTGACAAGCCTTTTCGTTGGACAGCGCCAGCAACACCGTGGCCCCAAAATTTTCTTTTCTTCTTTGAATTAACTTTTTATCGAGTAGGACTATAGCAATGTATTCTAATGTTTGCCTATTTTTCTGAAGCTTTAGTTTTTTTTTTCTTTTTTGTTTCTTTTTTCCTACCAATACTTGTGGAGTGACAGTTGATTATTAAGTGGTTGAATTGGCCTGTTGGGTGAGCATCGTAATTGTTTTATGTTGGATTTCTGCAATTTTCTTTTTATTTATTAGCGTGTAGTAATGATGCATGTGATTATCTATCCCAAAATTATTGGCTATATTGACAAAATTGGGGCACTCAAATTATTTGGCAACAAAATGATCCGTAACTTGGGATGTTTGAGAAAATATTGGTAATAATTTGAAAAATTGGTTTTAGAAAAATTAATTACAAGGATATTTGTATAAATATTTAAGAATGTGAGTACTTGTTCTATAACTATCCAGAATAATTTGGAAAATTAGAAAAATGATAAATTTATTTGTAATCTAAAATTAATTCTTTTTAAGTTTAAGCAAAATTATTGAGGTGTTTCACCCAGCATAGTCAGTGCCTCAGTGCCACAACAATCTCTATATGGAGACATTTGTTTGGTGCTACTGTCTAATGTTTTTAAATTATTTTTTTTGTTGATCAAATAAATTATATAATTTTTTATTGGGTAAATATTCAAAATCTCTTGAAATTAAGTTATAACTAAGACAAAGGAGATGATGCTTTTGTGTCCATATGTATTTAATAGTTTAAAAATAAATAAATAAAAACAAAAAAAAGATACAAATTGTAGTTTAAGGAAATTCTATTTTTATTGATTAAATAAATTATAAGTAAACATTATTAAACAACTATTTTTAAATAATTAAATTAAATTAAATAATCGAGTGTTGATATGGTCCAGTTTTATCAACTAAACTTATTTATCAATAAATTGTGTTACAACTTTGGATGACAAATTTATCACGATAAAATATCTGAAAAAATTATCTTATGTACTAAACTTATTTACCAATGTAAATTTATCATGATAAAATATCTAAAAAAATACAATTCATTCACTTATTGTTTCTACGCCATGTTTCAATACAAACTAACACAAATGTATTTAATATAAATCAAAACTTACAAACAAAAATAAAAATATCCAAATCATTTATCAGTTTGATAAAATTTTCAGTATCATTATCAATAACACTTAAAACCATAAGATACGCTGATAATTATTCCTAAATAAATTGACTAATAAAATGTTAGGAAGCAAAAGATGTAATGAACTTCTAGTTTGTGAATCGTCCGATACAAATCACATGGTGATCAGCAGTTCTACAATTTCAGAAGAAACAAATCAAAAAAGTATTTAAAATTTAAAATCAATGGTCAATATTTACTTTTCTGACATTATGAGTTTGTTTGTTAGTTTACTATTTTTTCTTACTTTTCCTTTTATAATTTGGATAAAACAATTATACATCTCTATTACTAAGTAGACACACAATCGGTTGATAAATCCTAGGGTTGAGTATGGTTTGGTTCATGAGTAAATCAAGATCAAACCATCATTTACAATTCTAAGAAATTTAATCAAGTCAAACTATAAAAATCTTAGAATCAAACTAAATCCAACTAGTAAAACATGATTTGATTTAGTTTGAAAACACGATTTTTAAAAATCTTATTATTTACATCGTGATCACAAAATATTATTCACAACTTGTTTTAACGTCAAGTAATATGTCATTATTTTATAAACAATAATAGTTTAGATAGTTATTTACAACTAGTTCTGGTACGACAATGCTACATAGCTCAAATTTTGTGGCTCAAAAGTGGCTCAAATGGCCAAAACGACGTCGTTTTGAGTACAGAACAACATAAAAATGGCCAAAACGACGTTGTTTTGGCTATTTGAATCACTTTTGAGCCACAAAATTTGAGGTACGAGACATTTTCCGTTCTGGTACTATACAAGAACACATTTGCAAGAATAGAGGATTGACAATTTATGTATAAAAATAGGATAATAATTAGGTATTTGAATATTTATGGTAAGTAATATATGGTTCCTGTACGGGGAGAAAATATTCCGGCGAGCCCGTACTCCTTTCTTCCGAGCTCCGTCTCTGTCCGATCACCTGCGAGCCAATAAGGGTGAGCTACCCGGCGGTGTGTGGCCGGAAAAACCCTCCGACGATCAAGTTAGCACACACCTTAGGATAGAGAGAGAGAGAGGAGTGTTTGAGTGTAAGAATTTCTTTACCCAAAAATGTTCGTATGTCCGCGTACGGGGGGCGTTCACATGCATATACCCTCTGCGCCCCATATCTACTCCCAGTCATCCCCTGACACGTGGCTCCCCTATCCCATCTGTCAGCATAAACCTTGCTGATCCTAGGGTTGAGTATGGTTTGGTTCATGAGTAAATCAAGATCAAACCATCATTTACAATTCTAAGAAATTTAATCAAGTCAAACTATAAAAATCTTAGAATCAAACTATTAAAACATGATTTGATTTAGTTTGAAAACACGATTTTTAAAAATCTTATTATTTACATCGTGATCACAAAATATTATTCACAACTTGTTTTAACGTCAAGTAATATGTCATTATTTTATAAACAATAATAGTTTAGATAATTATTTACAACTAGTTCTGGTACTATACAAGAACACATTTGCAAGAATAGAGGATTGACAATTAATGTATAAAAATAGGATAATAATTAGGTATTTGAATATTTATGGTAAGTAATATATGGTTCCAGTAACTATAAAACTACGGACCGAGCCATTAAGTACGATTTGCTTATTTCAAGAATTAAGATCAAACTATACGTTGAAAAAATCAAAACAAACTGTGCGATTTAATCAGAATCATATCAATTTCCAATTTTTTTCATTTTTTTCTCCGCCGTAATAAATTTTTATACTATTAATTTCATGACAACGACACTTTTGTATTTGGCTAAGAGGTGTCTACATTTCATACAACTTTCATGTAATTTCATGACAACACCACTAATGTATTTGGCTAAGAGGTGTCTACATTTCTCACGACTCTTGACTTGTTTTGAGCACATTGAAGTAACCAGTTTAATATGTGGCTAATGAGAGCAGAAACTCTAATTAACCTTTTAATGAGCACCTAAAGAGTCTAACTACATGTCTTTAATAGCCAATTTTATAAATAAAATAAAATATTATTTATTTATTTATATTTAATAAAATTAATTTTTTATATATATGATATTTATTACAAAATTTATGAGATAAATAATTTAAATCATTATTGTGAGTTATATAATAAAATTCACAAAATAAAATATAAAAAAATATTAAAAATAATATAGAGAGATGAAAGTAGTCAATTTTTAGTCAACTGTAGGGCTTAAAAAACTGACTTGGTGATGCATTTTGTTTGTTCTTTTATGATGGGACTTTGGGTAAGGGGCTTCCCTGTTTTAAATGGTTAACACATGTATTCTCTTTATACTAATATGGCCATGGCTTCTGTCCAGTTCGGGATCGGATTGGATCGTGTTGTTGGATCTGTGGAGGTCCACCACGGGTCCCGTTTTAATAATCTAAACCGTTCAATATATAGAACTCGTCGAGTATTATATGCCTGTAAAAAATTACGTTGATCGGATATCGATAGCTATGTGAACAAAACAGTTTTTTATCAACCGTTAATTTTTTCACTGTCCATTTTTTTTTTATACAAAACTGAATTGATCACATAGCTATCGATATCCAATCAATGTGATTTTTTACAGGCATGTAGTACTCGACGAGTTCTACACATTGAACGGTTCAGATTTTCAAAACGGGACCCGTGGTAGGCCTCAACAGGCCCAACAGCACGGTCCAGTCCGATCCCGGACTGGACAGAAGTTGGACCCTACTAATATTATAAATTCAGATTTAATTATTTAAAAATTATCTAAAATTATTATATTATATTATAATTTAAATTTATTTTATACATAAAACACTACATTGCACATATGCAATTCCAAGCACACATAATTATTCAGAATAAATTCGGAATAGATAAGTCTGAATTAATGGCCTTATTCCTTCGCTATATAGGTTATTCAATGCTTTTCCACTCTTTTAGTGTTATCCTTGTATGTTGTATGTATATTTTGGAAAATTTTATATGAGCTGTGTACTATATGCACTCTAGTTACAATTTTTGTTATATTTGATTATGATTTATTGTAGTCTTAGTTATGACTCTTTGCAATATTGATTATAACATTATTTTAGTTATGATATAAAAACTCTTTGGTTATATCTTACGCGATGTTTGGTAACTCATTTTTTTTAGTTAAGACTTTTGGAAGATTATTTATGACAGTCAAACCCACAAATATCATAATCTGCCTATAGTACATACCTTATAGCATTATCCATATATTTTAGGTTAAATTATACTAAATTCTCATGAGTTTTGAAAAAATTACAGTAAGTCTCATAAGTCTATGTGTGAGTCGATTTCTGACTACACTGCCAAACTAGTACTTAGCTGGAGAGTATCGGTAGAATAGATTAAGGCCGACTTGTCACAGAAAGAAGAGATTTCGGCTGTGATTCGTCCACCCGAGAGCACTCCGACGATCAAGTTAGTTATCTCTCAAAGATAGCG